TGAGGAGGGACGAAGGAGGCTGCGCAGCGGGTCCTCAACCTCCCTCTTCGGCCTCCCGTGTGAGGGGGGGAACTGCGGCCGGCGGAGGGGACTCTGGAGTCACATCTCGGCGGCGGGAGACCAAACACACACTGCTGGCTGGGTCCACAGCGACCTCTGACGGGATTTCCAGACACACAGCCTGTCAGGCTCCTTCCCTCTTAAGGACGCGCCCGCCCCACCCTCAGCTTCTGGTTCTCATACTGCGCTCACCTGGGAGCCCGTGATGGGGCGCGCCTCTCGCGTGGTTCCGCTGGCCCCGCTCCCCGCTGCTCCTAGGGGTGGGGCTCCACTCAGCCCCGCTCGGCTCCGCCCCCAGCTCCACCCATTCGCTGGGCTTCACTTGGTCCCGCTTGGCTCCGCCTCTCCAGCTCCGCCCATTCACTGGGCTCCCCTCGCTCTGCTGGGCCCCGCCCTCAGCACCACCCATTCGCCAGGCTCCACGCTTTCCACTCAGCTCCTCCCCCAGCTCCTCCCATTCCTCGGGTTCCACACCCTCCCTAGGCCCCGCCCTGTCCACTTCTCCTAAGGGTTGGCCTTAGCTGGATCGCTCCGCCCAGCACTTCGGCTCCGCCCACCTCCACTCGCTAAGCCTGACAGAGGAACAACAGTGCTTCTAAGTGACTTCTCAGTGACCTTTCCACACCAGAATGGAGTCAGAGAGGAGTCCCCTCCTCAAGGTCACCAGGTAGAGATGGGAGATGAGGCTGGTGGGAGCCTGCCTGTCTTCTGCTGCCAGTTTGCATCCCCAAAGCGGGGAGTGAAGCCTGCAGGCATAGCCCCCCAGGTGCTTCTTGGGTGCACGTGAGGTTTCACACAGGAAGAACCAGGGTCTAGACTCCTTGTGGCATAACAGGACTCAGGGCTGACTCTTTCTCTGGGACGAGGCTTTAGACAGCATCCAAACTTCTCATCCCACCAGCTTCGAGTGTGGCAGTCACATAGAGCAAAACTCTTGCCTGGGATTCCAGAGTCAGGTGGCCAGAGACCCACTCGACCTCACTCCTGCCTCCCATGGGCTCTAAGGAAGGCCCTCACCGTCTCCTGGACACGGTTAGAAATACACGTGCTCAGGTAACACCCCAGGTGGGCTGCATCTGAACTGGGTTAGTGGTGAGCCCTGTGGATGTGAACAAGGCCTTCTCCTGGGGATTCTGATGCCAGCAAATGCCAAAATAAGAACGTACACATACACCCGTAGGTATTTAGTGTAAAATGGCCATGCAATGGTCTCGACCTCAAGTTCATTGGAAAATCCTCTTCACCTGGTGGACATTGATGGGCTCAGAGGAGAGTACACCAGATCCTGCAAAATCATCAGGAATTTGTTTCTCCAATGTGGGGGTCAGGCAGGCTCCTTCAAGGGGAAAATGGCTTAAGGCTGCCATTTAAGATATTTTAAGGCAAAGATCAGCTGCAGAAATAAAGCATTTTACCTAAAATTTGCCATGAGCCCCACCTCCCCTGAGATAATACTCTGCCTCTCACCTTGTACCAAGTCAGGATGCCTCCAAAGTAGGCCAGAATTAAGCACAATTAATGTTACATTCCCAAAATACATTTTTTTTATTGTAAAGATTCCTGTCATGTAATAAAAAAAGAACCAGGGATATAATATGGGACTAATAAAATATTTGGATAAGATGCATTTTTTTGGTTCATAGCTACTATACCAACTGAACACAGTTTTACTCTT